ATTTTGAGTAGAAATGAAGAAAATGAGTTTTTCTCTCACACAAAGTTGTTTTTAGGTTACAAGAATGTTAGAAAATGGAAGAAGATGTCCAAAAATATATAAAAAGTAGCTTATAAGCATGGCATGTCCGCTCTGCTTCGCCTGGCGCTAAACAAGCTTTGTCGGGCGAGCCCCACTAACCATGCCCACGTGACAACAATAGTGAATGTAGGCAGCTGAAAGTATCTCACCTCGTCGGGCGAGCCCATAGTGTCGTTAGGCGAGTCCTTCTCACTTGGTCTTCATCGAGTGATCCAATAGGCAAAGCAAAGTCAGTAGCTACTGAATTTTGAAACATCTCTCGCCTCTCTCTCGTCAAACGAAGCTGCTGATTCTCGCCTCCCCTTCGCCGGGTGAGGCTTCCCAAACACTGACATTGAGTTTTCTTTGTTTCTTCTTCTCTGAGCCCGCTTTAAGCTGCAACATATGAACATAAAATGCTGAAAAACTGACAAACAAATTAAATTTTCCAAGATTATATACATCGATGCAAGAATCACTTAAAATAAGTCATTTTCATAATCAAAAGCATAGAAAATAGCTTAAAAGTGTCAATATATGATATGGAAAATAACCTAAAATTGACACTTAATAATGCTCTTCGCCAACCCCACATGAATGCTGCTACTCGACTTATTTGCTATTTCAAGTCAACTTCGGGCCAAGGTCTTTTCTTCCCTTCTAATTCAAATTTATCTCTTCAAGGTTATTGTGATTCATATTTGGCTAGTTGTCCTAGGACTCGTGTTAGACGATGACAACGTATCTAGAGGGGGGGTGAATAGACACCCCTTTAAAAAAATTATCCAGAAAAATTCTGGTTTTAAGAAAGTTGTTTTATCAAAGAGAAATGCGGAAGATTTTTCAGAATGTCGTCTTTAAAAACTTTATTGGAAACTCGGATATGCAAACTTAAAAATAAAAACAAATTCAATATGGAATAAGGATAACACTTGAATTAATATGCTTGAATAACTTTACATCTTATTCAACGTTTATTGCAAGTTACTAGTAAAGCTATTTCCAATGGCAATATTAAAAGAACAAATTGAATCAATTTATCAAACACTTGGTGTGCAGGTGAATTTTCAGAATTTTTCCTTAAGTTGTATTGATACACAAAACCACTTATAATCAAAAGTGATTATAAGCTATATCAACACTTGATTTAGAATAAAAAATAGTTCAGGAAATTTCTTACAATTCAATTGATAACACAATGCTATTTGACAAATTGATCAATGAAAATCAAAGAAAGTAAAAGCAAAAATAAAAGAGACACAAGGAATTTGTCTTCACAGGTACCCATTGTCATCCTCGCATGTGGGTACGTCTGCGCCTAATTCCAATAGAATTAGGATAATTCTTACTATGCAAAATGTTGATACAATAGAAGTGTTCAAGATCAACTTCACAAACCCTAAATCTTGTTGTTGATTCAACCCCTTCTCCTCTTTTGGTCTTAAGAAAGACCAAGACACAATAAATGTAAATTGGCTATCTATATCTTGCTAATCCTTTGCGTTCTTTATCTCCAAAACTTTCACGCACCATCAATTTCAAACTATTACAACACAAGACTTCAATTGTAATTTTTCGTTCTCTCGCTACTTCCTTTGTGTTCTTTATCTCCAAAGGATCCCTTGCATTCTTTATCTCCAGAGGACTTCACTTGGCCGCAATTACCTCTTGAACGTCTTGCACGAAAACCCCCAAATCAACCAATGATCTTGGAGGAAAAACCTATTGTTTTTCCCGATTAAAGACCCCTATAAAGCTCAACCCAATACTCCATTGGACACTATCAATCCTCGTCTAGATGGCGCCCCAACGAAACATCATAATAATATAATGTTAATGCGTATGTATATGTTAGAGGTTGAAGATGAAGAGAAATGTAGGCTAATTTTATGGTATCACCAAGTTATGAATGATGCATGAATGCATATTTATAGTTTTAAAACTTTTAGGGAAAAAAAGGACAAATTCGAAATTAAAAAGATTTGAAAAAACTGACCAAACATTCAATATGTGTCGACCTATATATCGTATATGTCGACATATACTTAATTTTTATGATGTATGTGTCGACCAAACTGAAGCAGAGACTACAGGCTTTAAAACGATAGAAAATGTGTCAACCTGAAAAACAAATGTGTCGACACATAAAATAAGAACTTCTGCAATTTCAAAAATGCTTCAGTATGTGTCGACCTATGAAATGCAAGTGCTGACCTAAGACTTACAGAGGCTATAAGCTTAAAAAATGAGCTACATGTGTTGACTTGAAAAGCGGTTGTGTCGACACATGTAGTAGAAAATTATGTAGAAACTTATTTTTAATCACTTGGATCAATTTCAAAATGCTTTTTAATGATTCCTAAGACCTCTAATGCAGACGAGTGCCATAAGACATAAGGATACCGCCCAATATATAGAAGTGCTAGCTTTTCCCAATTTTGATATCATGCAAAATATTTAATGACGAAGTTGTACTCACAACTTGGTGCTCCACTACCAGATATTGCATTTTTTTGGGTTCTAGCATAATCTCTTGGAAGACAAAGAAACAAATTATGGCCTCCTGTTCCTCTGCTGAAGCTGAATATAGAGCAATGGCTAATGCAACTTGAGAAATTAATTGGCTCTGCCATCTTTTGAAAGATATTGGTCTATCTCCTTCTACCTCAATACTATTTTTTTGTGACAACCAATATGCTCTTCATATTGCCTCAAATTCGGTATATCATGAACGAACGAAACACATAGAAATCGATTGTCATGTTGTTCGTGAAAAAAATTCTCCTGGTCTCATTATTACTATGAAAGTCAGTTATGAAAATTAAATTGCTGATTTACTTACCAAGTCATTGAGAAAAGATCAATTCATGCATTTAAAGAACAAGATGAGTTTATCCAACTTATACCTTCCATCTTGAGAGGGAGTGTTATCACAACAAATCAAGATGGCAATGATTTTGTTATTAATATAATATATTTTTATTAAAACATGATTTGATTATAACTAATTGCCTTTGACTATTTTCCATCTGTAGTTATGTTTCATGTTTGCTCTGTAAATATAATTAGCACATCCTTTGTACGGTTTCTATACAAAATATATGAATGTACATTTAAATTTAACTCCTTATTAATAATAAATGATTTATCATATCAACCAGAAAGCTAAGAACATGAACATACCTTTTTTTAAAGTTGAACAGTGTATAAATCAAAGAAACTGAAAATATACAAAAACGAAAAACAAAGTTAAAAGTTCATTCAAATTAAACACACTCAACAACAAATATGTTACGAACAAAATCTATAGATGAGGATTCAATGTAGAATTATATCAAACACCTGGTGGGAAATATAGATTCTTTTAGTAGTGGTATTGTTGAAATTTAATACTTGTAACCTCTTAGATTATGAATTAATACTTGCAACCTCTCTATCGCACTCGGTTCCAGAAAAACAACATGAAGCCACAAACTTAAAGCACTTCTTCCATGAATCCACCATTAATCTATCTGTAACGATTTTCAGAGCAAATAAAACCCAGCAAGATCATCAATGTACAAAAAACTAGCAAAACTCATTAAGACATTAAGAGAAAGCTAATTGCTTAAGGGTATTATAAAAATCTCTTTTAATTGATTTTTCATAACACTTACTGGAGCTAGAAATATTTCCCTTAGCATCAACAATGCCCCAAAAAATATCCAAAACCTATCAACCATGTTTTGTTCAAAGCATAAGCCCTAAAAACTTGTAAAATACAATGATACATCAATATAACAGTAAATTTATGACAATAAACAAAACCTTTTCTTATTCAATTTAATTCATTTTCAATACATGCATGAGAAAATCTTCGATTAGTAACAAATGAACTCATAGAATACAAACAATAATGACCAATTTCAGACACGCCCATATGGTTCAAACCAAAATGTTACAAAAAAAGTTGGGTTCCAACCTCCAGTTTTGAAGTTACGGGCAATAAATCACAAACAATAAATCAACGATTACTCGATTAGGTATTGAGAAGACGAAGAAAAATATAACACAAATAATAAATCAACAAACTGATATTTAGAAGATGGCGAAAAATGGAACACAAAAGATGAAACACAAACAAAGAATCAACGTCAAAATACCTTATGGAAAGAAGATGAAAAATGAACAAAATGCAGCTTGTGCAATGGAAGCAGAGGTTTAGGGTTTGATATGATGTTTGCTTTTTGAAATGATCAGAAAAGATGCATTGGTTATGTATGTTTTTAGTGGAAACGAAAAGTTGCAATTGTAATACAAATCAATTGAAATGAAATGTATTTGCAGTAGCATATGGAACGTTTTTAGTTGATAACCGAGTATGTAATGATTATTTGAGTTGAAAAGATAATTAGTTGGACAAACATTTTATTGGACACGAAATACCCCTAAAAAGTTGTGATTGACCAATAAAAAAGAGCATAGTTGTCTTAACCAGAATATATTGCTTTCTTATTTGATAATTTGAATATAGTATATTAATTTATTAGAAATGATAAGTTAAATAGGTATTTCTTATTTTTTTAGCCTTTTCTAATATATTAATTAATTAAACATGATAAAAAGGATTACAGAGTTATTGGGTTAATCTTTTTTAAATTAAAATTAAAATAAAAAACAAATTAATATTTATAATTATTAAATTAACTTTAATTTTGACTCTAAATTTTTTTTAAAAGACTTAACAACTTTAATAAATAAATATTTTAAAATTGTAATTATCTTTTTTCTTAAATAATAATTAAAACAACATTAAGATTTTTGTTAACACCTTAATTGAAATATTATTCTAAGAGGTAGATTTCTCCATTTACATCCACCCCTATATAAATAGTAAAATTTACTTATAATAATAGTCATTAAAGTAAAATATTGTTTACTGAGTCAAGTCAAATTCTAAAATGAGTTTTGGGGGCTTTTTTGACCTTTCACGTTTCATGTCAAGAAAGTATACAAAAAAATGACCAAGAGTTTAGTAATTTCTGCGGAGAATTGTTGAGAAGCTTGCGTGAAAACGGTGCCGCCATTGTTTACGATCCAAGATATACTCGTAAACAGCACTTCAAATGCATCAATTTGATGGAGGATTTCTTCGCGGTTCATCCGAATTTTGCTCAAGAAATTCATCAACAACTTTGCATACCCGTTGATTTTAGTGAAGAGGAGGTTTCAGAAACTCCAATGGAGTACCGTCCAACCCTAGGTCTACCTGCATTTCCTTCAGTGTTTCATTGGACCATAGGAATGAGGCCTACAGTTACTCAATTTCCGGTTTGTTCTAACTATCTTTTTTTCTTGATTGATTGTTTGTTAACTGCGAAGATGAACATTTTTGCTTGTCCATCACTTTTTGTGTCATTGTCTATGTAAATACAAAATATGAAACATTGTTTCAAAAGATGGAAAAAAGATTTGTAAGCTTCTATCTTGATATAGGTCGTATACGAAGAAAAAGTAAATTGAAGATAACAATAGACTTATACAGTAAACCTGAAAAAACATAGAGAAATGTGAAGAGATCCATAAATCTACGTAGCACCGACACCTCTGGAAACAGCCGTGTCCGTGTCGGTATTGGACACTTGCACGACACTTATAATTAAGTTTAAATTTTTCATTTTTTCAAATTATTACCGGTGCCGGCGTGTTAGAGTCAGGGCTGTATTCGAGGTGTCCGCACTTCATAGCCATAAATATACTTTAAATTGTGTAACTAGGAGTCAAACACAATGTCCAATCCCAGCACCCTGTTTGTCCCACCAGATGATCCTTCTAGGGTTAACCCTCTTAGACTCTCAAGGGATGTTAGGCAACTTTCAGTCTAACAGTTAGCGCCTTGAGGCTGGAGAATGCATGGTATGTCTGAAAAATATATTCCACGTAGCTCGGTTCTTGGTAGTTCTTGAAATTATTAGTTTTATTTGTAAAACTAGAAAATTGAGAAAAGTAAACAAAGTATTTAGTTACATGTTTATTAACTTAAAACTAAACTATAAGAACACTTAAAATGAAAAGAAACAAGTGTAGTTAATAATTTCGGTCCCGTAAGTTTTGGTTTGCTTAATTGTGTTTGGTAGGCCTTGCTATGCTTTGCTTAGACATAATTCCAGTCAGGTTTCTAGTTTTATTGTTTTTATTTTCATTGCCTACATGATGATGAAGCCTGACTTTAATTTTGAAAGTAAAAATATTGATAAAAGTGAAACTGGGAACAACACATTGTGCATTTTACTGTGTTTATGGAACTTTTGAGGTTTACACAGGTTTTGTTCACACTTTACACATAAACAACCCATTATGTATTTATAATGTTTTGTGTTGTAGCATTCTGGTATTGATTGAGAAGTTAAAAAGTGTACTGTTAATTGACTATTGTTTCAAGCCCTGAATGAAATTATTAATGTTTCATTTTTTCATGTTGAAAATATCTTTAGCCACTCTAAGGTTTTGTTGTATTTTTCCATTCTTTTGTTGAATATAAGTTAAGTAGAAAAAGGAATTATACTCTAATAGCTATTTAGGCAATAACGTTTTAGTTTTCCAAATCTATATGAATGAAGTTGACAGTTAGATATTGTTAGATAATAAGGATTTTTCATCTTTAGGTATGTTATTAAGTATTATTTTATTGCACAATTCATCTCTAGTAGTAGTGCTAAATTGTTGTGGTTTTATATCCTTCTATCTATCTCTATTTAGGGTACTTTTTGTATTAATACAAGTCTAATTTTTGTTTTCTGCATTTCCCTTTTGGCACCACTGCTTTTTTACACCTAGAATAGAATCTATATATGCCATAATATCCGTACCAAAATGGTGGCGGATTTTCTCCCATATCTGGCTTTGGATTGGTTCCGGTTCAGTCCAGATGTGTGGTCGGTCTATTGCGTTTCTCTATTGTGGTTCTGCGGCACATTTTTCCCAAATTTTGTTGGTGGATGGCATGTTCTGGTGTTGTTTTGCAGTAGCACGGGCGGGGTGTTGTGTTGTAGCACTGCTTCGAATTTTGTGGTCTTTCCTTTTGGTTCATGGTCCATAGGTCTAGTTGTTTTTCTAGTTTTATTGTTTTTATTTTCATTGCCTACATGATGAGATGAAGCCTGACTTTGTGAAACTAATTGGAAAAATAGCTTAAGAAGAAACCTGACTTTTATTTTGGAAGTGAAACCATAAAATCCAAATTCCATTTGTTGAAACATCAAGTGAATTCTGTTTCCAAATTATCAAAATGGATTTGGTTAAATTTAATACTGTTCGGTTCAATATGATTAGTTAAATGTGATGGTTAGGTTCATTGATTAACTTAGATGGTAGTTAAATGTTAGTTAAAGGAAATGGTTAGGTTCATGATTAACTTAGATGTTGCTATGCAATGTTTTTGCTGTTTTCTATTCACCCTGCACTACTTATGCAGATATTGATTCGTATTTTCTATATATAGATATTAAACAAAAAATGGCAAAACGTTTCACGGGGCTTTGCTCTCCCCAATTGGAAAGACAACTTTGACGGCTGCGGTGATAAACTCTTAGATACTTTACATATGGTAGCCAAGTTACTTGCAATTGGCTGTGACATACCAATGGATACTTTCTCCTCTTCTATGCATCTGGTAAGCCATCCTTATCTTTATCCTATTTGTAGTCTCATCATGGTGGAAATTGTTTTTATTATCTCTTTTTTAGGGCCCACACTTTTTGGTTGCAAGTGGATATGATTTACGCAATTTTGGCGAGGAAGGCACTCTCTTGAGTCCATGCCATTGCGACTCAACTTTCCTTAGCATACAAGCAGGAAATATGTTTCCTGGTCTCAACATATGGACAAAGGGTGGCAGAAAAGTTGAAGTTGCAATTCCGGATGGATGCCTTCTCGTTCAAACCGGAAAGCAGGTAAGTTTCACTTGAGTCGTAATGAAGTTCTCGCTTCTTTAGTGGTGCACTCTTCATTACTCTTACGGTCTCATGTAACTCCTTATTTTCCTTCCCTTTTTGATTTCATTACCTTCTTTTAAAAATATAGATGGAGTGGTTGACAGCGGGAAGTTACAAGGCTTCAAGATATGAAAGAGTTGTATCTAAGAAGGTTATTGATGCTATTAACCTCGCAAGAGCTCAGCAACGCAGCTTGTGGTCAGTTTCTTTAAAGGTGAGTGAAATTTATGACATAGGTTAATTTTGTTTTCTATGTAATGTATTTTATTAGTGCTTGTTAATACAAAATGGTATAGAACAAACTCAATCTAAAATGAAATCTGTTATTAAATCAAGTGAAGCTAAGGCTCTTAAATAGCCATGGCTTGAAACAGAAAGAGCTAAAAACCAGGTCACGTCTACAACAATCTAAAGAACGTGAATACTTGCTTAAGAATAGGTCCAGCAAAGCAAAAACAAAATCAAATACTAACGTCATCATCCTATTAGCTAGGACACTTATTAATAGAATTAAAGACTAAATCAAAAGGACTGCTGACGTCATCACTAACAGTCTAACAATTGCTCCCCTAAACTGAATATGCCAGAAGCATTTCAGTTTACCTCCCCAGCTGACTTCACTCCAAGTGCTTCTCTGAATCTTTCAAACAACTCCAACCTCATGGGCTTAGTCATAATGTCAGCTAACTGCTCACTTGTACCACAATGCTTCATATTAATCACTTCATCCCTTGTGAGATTCCTTAAGAAATGGAACCTCACATCAATGTGCTTACTCCTGCCGTGGAAAACTGGATTTTTTGCAAGTTTTATTGTAGAAGAGTTATCGCACAGAACCTTGACACTTTTACTTTGAGTACCTCCAATCTGCTTCAGTATCTGTTGCAACCAAATGCACTGACATGCACAAGAAGCGGCTGCCACGTACTCCGCTTCGGTGGTTGAAAGTGTCACCATTGGCTGCTTCTTTGATGACCAAGCCACTGCTCCTCCACTTAGCATGAAAACATAGCCTGAAGTACTTTTTCGATCATCCAAGTCCCCTGCATAGTCACTGTCTGAATAGGCTAGCATCTCATCTTCACATCCCCTTTTGTAGAATACACCAAGCTCAGTAGTAGCTCTAATGTATCTGAGAACTCTCTTGGCAGCCATTATATGAGATTCCATAGGATTGGCCATGAAGCGACTTATCAAACACACACTATAAGCCAAGTCAGATCTTGTGACTGTCATGTACATCAAGCTTCCCACCATTTGCTTGAATAATGTTGCATCTGCCTTTTTCCATCTTCTTGTTTTGTCAGTCTATTACTTCCTGGAACCATGGGATTCTTAACTCATTGCAACTCTCCAACCCAAATCTTTTCAGAACTTCTTCAGCATACTTCCTTTGACCAATGTGAATGCCATTAGAGCTCTGCCGTATTTCAACTCCCAAGAAATACTTCATCTTACCAAGATCAGTCATCTCAAACTCCCTTTTCATAGACTCTTTGAACTCATTCACCATAATTGAATTATTGCTAGTAAAAATGAGATCATCAACATAGAGACTTACAATTAGGATCTTGTTCTTCTCTTCTCTTTTGATGAACATGGTGTGCTCATAGCTGCTTCTCTCAAACCCCTCCTTAATAAAGTAGCCTTCAATTCTGCTAAACCACGCTCTTGGTGCCTGCTTCAGACCATAGAGTGCTTTCTTTAGTTTGTAGACTTTCTTTTCTTCCCCATTGACCACATAACCTGGAGGTTGTGCAATGTAAACATCTTCATTCAGCTCACCATGAAGAAAGGCGCTTTTGACATCGAGTTGAAAGAGTGTCCATCCATTTCTTGCTGCCAAGGCTATCACCGTACGAATTGTGTCCCATCTAGCAACTGGAGCAAAGACTTCATTATAGTCTACTCCCTTCTCTTGCGCATATCCCTTAGCCACAAGCCGAGCTTTGTACTTATCTATCTCACCATTCTCATTCAACTTGATTTTATAGACCCATTTTACTCCAATTACTTTGACTTCTTTTGGTGCATCAACAAGCTCCCAGGTTTCATTCTTTACAATGGCACCGATCTCCACATCCATTGCATCCCTCCATCTTTTTATTTTCACTGCTTCTTCATAGTAAATAGGATCATCAGATGCTATAAACAAAGCTAAATTTTGTACCTCTTCTTCTTCTTCTGAGAGTCCTTCTCCGCTTGTATAGTCTTGAAGATATGCTGGGGCTCGAGTGACTCTTCTTTCAGGCAGTGTGGGTGCTGTAGCATCACTGGAGATGGCATTGTGATCAGATTCTCCTTCTTCTTGTGAATTTTCACCTTTACTTTCTTCATCACTAGAGACATATGTGTCTTCATCAACTTCTCCCCAATCAAGACTGTCATTTTTTGCTTCTTCTTCTGTCCTTCTCCAATCCCAGCTTTCCTCTTCCTGAAACACAATATCTCTACTAATTATCACCTTCTTTGTCATCGGATTGACCATTTTGTATCCTTTGGACTCTTCACTATACCCTAACATCACGCACTTTTGACTTCTAGCATCCAACTTGAACCGCTGTGCATGTGGTACATGCACATTTCCTACGCATCCGAACACTCGAAAATGATCGACATTGGGCTTTATTCCACTCCAGCATTCTTCTGGTGTCTTATTCTTTACGGCAGAGGTTGGACTTCGGTTGAGGATGTGGCACGTCCACTTCACAGCTTCTGGCCAGAACGAAGTAGGCATCTTCTTCTCTTCTAGCAAGCATCGCACCATGTTAAGAATAGTACGATTTTTGCGCTCGGCCACCCCGTTTTGTTGAGGGGTGTAGGATGTAGTCAATTGCCTCTTAATGCCTTCCAAGTCTACAAAACTCTGTGAACTCCTTGGAGGTGAACTCCCCTCCTCTATTGAACAAATATTTCAAATCCCATGAAGTAATAAAAGCTTCTAGAAATGGGGAAATATGGCAGTTAATCTCATACTTTCAAAAACACGTGATTAACTTCCCTAACTCCTTCTCTGTACCGTTAATCCACGTTCTCATGCTTCGAACAAGTTGTTCATGAAATGGACGAGAAAAGGACATCTTATTGAGTAATCGATCTAGAAAACACACAATTAGTAAGGCTTGGTACAAAATTACATCATTTGTTTTCCTCGTTGTCCCTTGTGTACAAAATTATTTTTATTTTTTAAAATAAAGATATCTTAAGTTACATGTTTAATTTATTAAGTATAAATTTATTTTTAATTTATAATCAATCAATAACATCCTTTAAGACGATACATCACACACATTTCATACAATTACGTTCATCTCATTTTTTTTTCCTTGACAAAGGGGGCAAATTGCTAGCACGTGGAATACATTAACTGAACCAAATAGACATTCAGACACTTTTACAATTGCATGTATTTTTCGAAGGTAATATTTAAAATTTTCGAAGGTAAAAGAGTAGGTACGTGGATAGAAGAGGGTGAAGTAGAGATGCAATTTAATAGAATATTTCTTGCTATGAACTTATGCCATATATTGCAATGACTTTTTATACCAGCCATGCCAAGTAGAGGTCTACTGAATTACTAACTAACAATATACATTCTGAGCCAAAAATACATTCTTAGGCAACAACAACTTTTATATGTACTAACTAACAATATACATTCTGAGCCTAAAATACATATTATGTAGGATCCTATCAAAATACATTCTATCAAATGTTTGTAGTATATCAACATTAGAAGCTTGGAATCACTATCAAATATCTATAGTATATCATCATATATCACCATAGAATCAATAGTATATCAACATAGAGTTGAGCATATCAACATAGAATCAATAGTATATCAACAAATGATCATATCTGAACTTCTAAAACAGACCCTGCACGTATGGCAGGATAGTTCTTTGCATTCTCCGATCCAGCAAAAGAGGCCACAGGCTTCAAGAGTACATCAGTAGCTACTTGAGCATACAACTGCATTTAATAAATAAAGTAAATCAAGCATTATACATTAAAGATTTAGTGATAGTGATAGGTACTCAAAATTCAGATAAATGGAAAATGTGTTATTGCTACTAGGATACTCTTTAGTGTGCTCTAGAAACAAATAGAAATGGGTCCTATTAATGCCACCCTCTAATAAGCAACCTTGTCCTCAAGGTTAGATATGGTTTCTATTACTCTTGTTGCTACTAGGATACTCTTTAGTGTGCTCTAGAAACAAATAGAAATTGAGTCATTGAAAACAGTGAGCTCGGACATCAATTGCATCCAAAAGCTTGATGGTCAAAACTTTCCTATATCATATACCAATTTAAACAACACCCAAATGTTTGAGGACCAAAATTTCCCTTTATCAATTACAAAAAGTAGGAAAACATAAATTGATGGGGAATTTCTCGATTAAAATTTATATTCAACAACTACTATAGTAATATTAGACCTCCTTGGATTCCATTGTCTGTTTGAAATTGATAAATACCAAGAAATCATTTCAAAAGGAAACTCACTCTCCATTTCTTCCATATCCCCTCATAACATCCCAAACATCCAGGGGATCTTGTTTAGGGAAAAATTGGACAAAGACCACATGCACAAATTTCATATATACATCTCAACCAAACAAGTTGCCAAATTTCATCCATATCAGCACAAGTTTTCACAGCATCCACATGCATTTCTTTCCCGTCTTTTCCAGATCCATCAATTATAATTTTAACCAATGATATAAAGCTTTCTAATCCTCTTTATGACATAGTCCCAAAAATATTTGTCTTTAGAAGAACCAATTCCATCAACCAAGTAAAAGGTTGAGAAGTTATTTCCATCACTTATTGCTGCAAGTTTAATGGAATGTACTGTCCCTTTTTCTATTAGCCTTTCTTTTTGCAAGCAGCTTCCATCCATCTTAGCCAAGCAATTAACCGAACTTGGTAAAAGTCTCACATACAAATCAAACACTTTGTACTATTATTTCCATTATGAGAGCACTATTAGACTGTTAGTGATGACGTTAGCAATCCTTTTGATTTAGTCTTTAATTCTATTAATAAGTGTCCTAGCTAATAGGATGATGACGTTAGTATTTGATTTTGTTTTTGCTTTGCTGGACCTATTCTTAAGCAAGTATTCACGTTCTTTAGATTGTTGTAGACGTGACCTGGTTTTTAGCTCTTTCTGTTTCAAGCCATGGCTATTTAAGAGCCTTAGCTTCACTTGATTTAATAACAGATTTCATTTTAGAATTGAGTTTGTTCTATACCATTTTGTATTAACAATTGGTATCAGAGCTCCGAAAGGGGCCTGATAGTGTGAGTAAACACAGAGAGACCAAGATGTCAACCTCAGAAAAGTTCGTGCAGCCGTCCATTCCCAAGTTCGACGGCCATTATGATTTCTGGTCAATGACAATGGAGAATTTCCTCAGGAGAATTTCCTCAGGAGCAAAGAGATGTGGAACTTGGTGGACGAGGGAATTCCAACACCGGCAATCGGAAGCGCAGCAGCAAGTGAGACACAAAGAAAGAGTGTGGAGGAGGCTAAACTCAAAGATTTGAAGGTGAAAAACTTCTTGTTTCAAGCTATTGACAGAGAAATATTGGAAACAATTCTCGACAAGAGAACATCGAAGGCGATTTGGGATTCAATGAAACAAAAGTATCAAGGGTCCACGAAGGTGAAAAGAGCACAACTTCAAGCGTTAAGGAAGGAATTTGAGTTACTAGCCATGAAAGAAGGAGAGAAAGTAGACAGCTTCTTGGGGCGGACTTTAACCGTGGTCAACAAAATGAAGACAAATGGTGAGGTGATGGAGCAAAGCACAGTGGTTGGTAAGATACTTAGATCATTGACCTCCAAATTCAACTATGTCGTTTGTTCAATAGAGGAGTCGAATGATTTAAGTGTCTTGAGCATTGATGAATTGCATGAGAGTCTGCTTGTTCATGAACAAAGGATGCAGGCACTGCATGGAAGTCTGCTTGTTCATGAACAAAGGATGCAGGCACACCAGGAAGAGGAACAAGTGCTGAAAGTGACCTATGATGAGAGATCAGGCAGAGGAAGAGGTAGAAGCATGAATAGAGGAGGGCGAGGTAGAGGACGAGGCAGACATGCTTTCAACAAGGCTACAATTGAATGCTTCAAATGTCATAAATTGGGGCACTTCCAATATGAGTGTCCTGATTGGGAGAAAAGGGCCAATTATGTAGAGTTGAATGAGGAGGAGGAACTTCTATTGATGTCCTATGTTGAGAACAATAATTCGAAGAGAGAGGCAGTATGGTTTCTTGATTCTGGTTGTTCTAACCATATGACAGGGAACAAGCAATGGTTTGTGGAACTAGATGAGCAATTCAACCATTCAGTAAAACTTGGAAACAATCTCAGAATGCCTTTGAAAGGGAAGGGCAACATCAGACTTGAAGTAGAAGGTGTAACTCAGGTAATATCAGAAGTTTATTATGTTCCTGAGTTGAAAAACAACTTATTGAGTATTGGCCAGTTGCAAGAGAAAGATTTGACTATCTTGATACAAAATGGAGAATGCCGAGTCTATCATCCCAGAAGGGGGCTAATCATGCACACACATATGACATCTAATAGGATGTTTGTAATATTGGCTAATGTTGTATTACATACATCATCTACATGTCTAAGTGTGAGAAGTGATGATATTGGTGAGTTGTGGCATAAGAGATATGGTCACTTAAGCATCACAAGTATGAATTTGTTACAGCAAAAAGAACTTGTCCGAGGACTTCCCAAGTTTCAGGTGCCAACCAATGTATGTACAAGCTGCATGAAAGGGAAACAACATCGGGAGATCATTCCAAAGAAAAGCAAGTGGAGAGCAACACAGAAGCTGCAACTTATACACTCAAACATCTGCGGACCGATCACTCCAGAGTCATACGGCAATAAAAGGTATTTGTTAACCTTTATTGATGACTTTAGGCGAAAACTTTGGGTCTATTTTTTGAATGAGAAGAGTGAAGCTTTCACAACATTCAAAAGCTTTAAAAATGTTGTGGAGAAGGAGTCTGGTCTATCTATTTGTGGATTAAGAACAGATGGAGGAGGGGAGTTCACCTCCAAGGAGTTCACATAGTTTTGTAGACTTGAAGGCATTAAGAGGCAATTGACTACATCCTACACCCCTCAACAAAACGGGGTGGCCGAGCGCAAAAATCGTACTATTCTTAACATGGTGCGATGCTTGCTAGAAGAGAAGAAGATGCCTACTTCGTTCTGGCCAGAAGCTGTGAAGTGGACGTGCCACATCCTCAACCGAAGTCCAACCTCTGCCGTAAAGAATAAGACACCAGAAGAATGCTGGAGTGGAATAAAGCCCAATGTCGATCATTTTCGAGTGTTCGGATGCGTAGGAAATGTGCATGTACCACATGCACAGCGGTTCAAGTTGGATGCTAGAAGTCAAAAGTGCGTGATGTTAGGGTATAGTGAAGAGTCCAAAGGATACAAAATGGTCAATCCGATGACAAAGAAGGTGATAATTAGTAGAGATATTGTGTTTCAGGAAGAGGAAAGCTGGGATTGGAGAAGGACAGAAGAAGAAGCAAAAAATGACAGTCTTGATTGGGGAGAAGTTGATGAAGACACATATGTCTCTAGTGATGAAGAAAGTAAAGGTGAAAATTCACAAGAAGAAGGAGAATCTGATCACAATGCCATCTCCAGTGATGCTACAGCACCCACACTGCCTGAAAGAAGAGTCACTCGAGCCCCAGCATATCTTCAAGACTATACAAGCGGAGAAGGACTCTCAGAAGAAGAAGAAGAGGTACAAAATTTAGCTTTGTTTATAGCATCTGATGATCCTATTTACTATGAAGAAGCAGTGAAAATAAAAAGATGGAGGGATGCAATGGATGTGGAGATCGGTGCCATTGTAAAGAATGAAACCTGGGAGCTTGTTGATGCACCAAAAGAAGTCAAAGTAATTGGAGTAAAATGGATCTATAAAATCAAGTTGAATGAGAATGGTGAGATAGATAAGTACAAAGCTCGGCTTGTGGCTAAGGGATATGCGCAAGAGAAGGGAGTAGACTATAATGAAGTCTTTGCTCCAGTTGCTAGATGGGACACAATTCGTACGGTGATAGCCTTGGCAGCAAGAAATGGATGGACACTCTTTCAACTCGATGTCAAAAGCGCCTTTCTTCATGGTGAGCTGAATGAAGATGTTTACATTGCACAACCTCCAGGTTATGTGGTCAATGGGGAAGAGAAGAAAGTCTACAAACTAAAGAAATCACTCTATGGTCTGAAGCAGGCACCAAGAGCGTGGTTTAGCAGAATTGAAGGCTACTTTATTAAGGAGGGGTTTGAGAGAAGCAGCTATGAGCACACCATGTTCATCAAAAGAGAAGAGAAGAACAAAATCCTAATTGTAAGTCTCTATGTTGATGATCTCATTTTTACTAGCAATAATTCAATTATGGTGAATGAGTTCAAAGAGTCTATGAAAAGGGAGTTTGAGACTGATCTTGGTAAGATGAAGTATTTCTTGGGAGTTGAAATACGGCAGAGCTCTAATGGCATTCACATTGGTCAAAGGAAGTATGCTGAAGAAGTTCTGAAAAGATTTGGGTTGGAGAGTTGCAATGGAGTTAAAGAATCCCATGGTTCCAGGAAGTAATAGACTGACAAAACAAGAAGATGGAAAAAAGGCAGATGCAACATTATTCAAGCAAATGGTGGGAAGCTTGATGTACATGACAGTCACAAGACCTGACTTGGCTTATAGTGTGTGTTTGATAAGTCGCTTCATGGCCAATCCTATGGAATCTCATATAATGGCGGCCAAGAGAGTTCTCAGATACATTAGAGCTACTACTGAGCTTGGTGTATTCTACAAAAGGGGATGTGAAGATGAGATGCTAGCCTATTCAGACAGTGACTATGCAGGGGACTTGGATGATCGAAAAAGTACTCCAGGCTATGTTTTCATGCTAAGTGGAGGAGCAGTGGCTTGGTCATCAAAGAAGCAGCCAGTGGTGACACTTTCAACCACCGAAGCGGAGTACGTGGCAGCCGCTTCTTGTGCATGTCAGTGCATTTGGTTGCAACAGATACTGAAGCAGATTGGAGGTACTCAAAGTAAAAGTGTCAAGGTTCTGTGCGATAACTCTTCTACAATAAAACTTGCAAAAAATCCAGTTTTCCACGGCAGGAGTAAGCACATTGATGTGAGGTTTCATTTCTTAAGGAATCTCACAAGGGATGAAGTGATTAATATGAAGCATTGTGGTACAAGTGAGCAGTTAGCTGACATTATGACTAAGCCCATGAGGTTGGAGTTGTTTGAAAGATTCAGAGAAGCACTTGGAGTGAAGTCAACTGGGGAGGTAAACTGAAATGCTTCTGGCATATTCAGTTTAGGGGAGCAATTGTTAGACTGTTAGTGATGACGTCAACAGTCCTTTTGATTTAGTCTTTAATTCTATTAATAAGTGTCCTAGCTAATAGGATGATGACGTTAGTATTTGATTTTGTTTTTGCTTTGCTGGACCTATTCTTAAGCAAGTATTCACGTTCTTTAGATTGTTGTAGACGTGACCTGGTTTATAGCTCTTTCTGTTTCAAGCCATGGCTATTTAAGAGCCTTAGCTTCACTTGATTTAATAACAGATTTCATTTTAGATTGAGTTTGTTCTATACCATTTTGTATTAACAAGCACTAATAAAATACATTACATAGAAAACAAAATTAACCTATGTCATAAATTTCACTCACCTTTAAAGAAACTGACCACAAGTTGCGTTGCTGAGCTCTTGCGAGGTTAATAGCATCAATAACCTTCTTAGATACAACTCTTTCATATCTTGAAGCCTTGCAACTTCCCGCTGTCAACCACTCCATCTATATTTTTAAAAGAAGGTAATGAAATCAAAAAGGGAAGGAAAATAAGGAGTTACATGAAACCGTAAGAGTAATGAAGAGTGCACCACTAAAGAAGCGAGAACTTTATTACGACTCAAGTGAAACTTACCTGCTTTCCGGTTTGAACGAGAAGGCATCCATCCGGAATTGCAACTTCAACTTTTCTGCCACCCTTTGTTTATATGTTGAGACCAGGAAACATATTTCCTGCTTGTATGCTAAGGAAAGTTGAGTCACAATGGCATGGACTCAAGAGAGTGCCTTCCTCGCCAAAATTGCGTAAATCATATCCACTTGCAACCAAAAAGTGTGGGCCCTAAAAAAAAGATAAAAACAATTTCCACCATGATGAGATTACAAATAGGATAAAGATAAGGATGGCTTACCAGATGCATAGAAGAGGAGAAAGTATCCATTGGTATGTCATAGCCAATTGCAAGTAACTTGGCTACCATATGTAAAGTATCTAAGAGTTTATCACCGCAGCCGTCAAAGTTGTCTTTCCAATTGGGGAGAGCAAAGCCACGTGAAACGTTTTGCCATTTTTTGTTTAATATCTATATATAGAAAATACGAATCAATATCTGCATAAGTAGTGCAGGGTGAATAGAAAACAGCAAAAACATTGCATAGCAACATCTAAGTTAATCATGAACCTAACCATTTCCTTTAACTAACATTTAACTACCATCTAAGTTAATCAATGAACCTAACCATCACATTTAACTAATCATATTGAACCGAACAGTATTAAATTTAACCAAATCCATTTTGATAATTTGGAAACAGAATTCACTTGATGTTTCAACAAATGGAATTTGGATTTTATGGTTTCACTTCCAAAATAAAAGTCAGGTTTCTTCTTAAGCTATTTTTCCAATTAGTTTCACAAAGTCAGGCTTCATCTCATCATGTAGGCAATGAAAATAAAAACAATAAAACTAGAAAAACAACTAGACCTATGGACCATGAACCAAAAGGAAAGACCACAAAATTCGAAGCAGTGCTACAACACAACACCCCGCCCGTGCTACTGCAAAACAACACCAGAACATGCCATCCACCAACAAAATTTGGGAAAAATGTGCCGCAGAACCACAATAGAGAAACGCAATAGACCGACCACACATCTGGACTGAACCGGAACCAATCCAAAGCCAGATATGGGAGAAAATCCGCCACCATTTTGGTACGGATATTATGGCATATATAGATTCTATTCTAGGTGTAAAAAAGCAGTGGTGCCAAAAGGGAAATGCAGAAAACAAAAATTAGACTTGTATTAATACAAAAAGTACCCTAAATAGAGATAGATAGAAGGATATAAAACCACAACAATTTAGCACTACTACTAGAGATGAATTGTGCAATAAAATAATACTTAATAACATACCTAAAGATGAAAAATCCTTATTATCTAACAATATCTAACTGTCAACTTCATTCATATAGATTTGGAAAACTAAAACGTTATTGCCTAAATAGCTATTAGAGTATAATTCCTTTTTCTACTTAACTTATATTCAACAAAAGAATGGAAAAATACAACAAAACCTTAGAGTGGCTAAAGATATTTTCAACATGAAAAAATGAAACATTAATAATTTCATTCAGGGCTTGAAACAATAGTCAATTAACAGTAAACTTTTTAACTTCTCAATCAATACCAGAATGCTACAACACAAAACATTATAAATACATAATGGGTTGTTTATGTGTAAAGTGTGAACAAAACCTGTGTAAACCTCAAAAGTTCCATAAACACAGTAAAATGCACAATGTGTTGTTCCCAGTTTCACTTTTATCAATATTTTTACTTTCAAAATTAAAGTCAGGCTTCATCATCATGTAGGCAATGAAAATAAAAACAATAAAACTAGAAACCTGACTGGAATTATGTCTAAGCAAAGCATAGCAAGGCCTACCAAACACAATTAAGCAAACCAAAACTTACGGGACCGAAATTATTAACTACACTTGTTTCTTTTCATTTTAAGTGTTCTTATAGTTTAGTTTTAAGTTAATAAACATGTAACTAAATACTTTGTTTACTTTTCTCAATTTTCTAGTTTTACAAATAAAACTAATAATTTCAAGAACTACCAAGAACCGAGCTACGTGGAATATATTTTTCAGACATACCATGCATTCTCCAGCCTCAAGGCACTAACTGTTCGACTGAAAGTTGCCTAACATCCCTTGAGAGTCTAAGAGGGTTAACCCTAGAAGGGTCATCTGGTGGGACAAACAGGGTGCTGGGATTGGACATTGTGTTTGACTCCTAGTTACACAATTTAAAGTATATTTATGGCTATGAAGCGCGGACACCTCGAATACAGCCCTGACTCTAACACGCCGGCACCAGTAATAAATTGAAAAAATGAAAAATTTAAACTTAATTATAAGTGTCGTGCAAGTGTCCAATACCGACACGGACACGGCTGTTTCCAGAGGTGTCGGTGCTACGTAGATTTATGGATCTCTTCACATTTCTCTATGTTTTTTCAGGTTTACTGTATAAGTCTATTGTTATCTTCAATTTACTTTTTCTTCGTATACTACCTATATCAAGATAGAAGCTTACAAATCTTTTTTCCATCTTTTGAAACAATGTTTCATATTTTGTATTTACATAGACAATGACACAAAAAGTGATGGACAAGCAAAAATGTTCATCTTCGCAGTTAACAAACAATCAATCAAGAAAAAAAGATAGTTAGAACAAACCGGAAATTGAGTAACTGTAGGCCTCATTCCTATGGTCCAATGAAACACTGAAGGAAATGCAGGTAGACCTAGGGTTGGACGGTACTCCATTGGAGTTTCTGAAACCTCCTCTTCACTAAAATCAACGGGTATGCAAAGTTGTTGATGAATTTCTTGAGCAAAATTCGGATGAACCGCGAAGAAATTCTCCATCAAATTGATGCATTTGAAGTGCTGTTTACGAGTATATCTTGGATCGTAAACAATGGCGGCACCGTTTTCACGCAAGCTTCTCAACAATTCCCCGCAGAAATTACTGAACTCTTCGTCATTTTTTGTATACTTTCTTGACATGAAACGTGAAAGGTCAAAAAAGCCCCCAAAACTCATTTTAGAATTTGACTTGACTCAGTAAACAATATTTTACTTTAATGACTATTATTATAAGTAAATTTTACTATTTATATAGGGTGGATGTAAATGGAGAAATCTACCTCTTAGAATAATATTTCAATTAAGGTGTTAACAAAAATCTTAATGTTGTTTTAATTATTATTTAAGAAAAAAGATAATTACAATTTTAAAATATTTATTTATTAAAGTTGTTAAGTCTTTTAAAAAAAATTTAGAGTCAAAATTAAAGTTAATTTAATAATTATAAATATTAATTTGTTTTTTATTTTAACTTTAATTTAAAAAATATTAACCCAATAACTCTGTAATCCTTTTTATCATGTTTAATTAATTAATATATTAGAAAAGGTTAAAAAAATAAGAAATACCTATTTAACTTATCATTTCTAATAAATTAATATACTATATTCAAATCTATCAAATAAGAAAGCAATATATTCTGGTTAAGACAACTATGCTCTTTTTTATTGGTCAATCACAACTTTTTAGAGGTATTTCGTGTCCAATAAAATGTTTGTCCAACTAATTATCTTTTCAACTAAAATAATCATTACATACTCAGTTATCAACTAAAAACGTTCCATATGCTACTGCAAATACATTTCATTTCAATTGATTTGTATTACAATTGCAACTTTTCGTTTCCACTAAAAACATACATAACCAACGCATCTTTTCTGATCATTTCAAAAAGCAAACATCATATCAAACCCTAAACCTCTGCTTCTATTGCACAAGCTGCATTTTGTTCATTTTTCATCTTCTTTCCATAAGGTATTTTGACGTTGATTCTTTGTTTGTGTTTCATCTTTTGTGTTCCATTTTTCGCCGTCTTCTAAATATCAGTTTGTTGATTTATTATTTGTGTTATATTTTTCTTCGTCTTCTCAATACCTAATCGAGTAATCGTTGATTTATTGTTTGTGATTTATTGCTCGTAACTTCAAAACTGGAGGTTGGAACCCAACTTTTTTTGTAACATTTTGGTTTGAACCATATGGGCGTGTCTGAAATTGGTCATTATTGTTTGTATTCTATGAATTCATTTGTTACCAATCGAAGATTTTCTCATGCATGTATTGAAAATTAATTAAATTGAATAAGAAAAGGTTTTGTTTATTGTCATAAATTTACTGTTATATTGATGTATCATTGTATTTTACAAGTTATTAGGACTTATGCTTTGAACAAAACATGGTTGATAGGTTTTGGATATTTTTTGGGGCATTGTTGATGCTAAGGGAAATATTTCGAGCTCCAGTAAGTGTTATGAAAAATCAATTAAAAGAGATTTTTATAATACCCTTAAGCAATTAGCTTTCTCTTAATGTCTTAATGAGTTTTGCTAGTTTTTTGTACATTGATGATCTTGCTGGGTTTTATTTGCTCTGAAAATCGTTACAGATAGATTAATGGTGGATTCATGGAAGAAGTGCTTTAAGTTTGTGGCTTCATGTTGTTTTTCTGGAACCGAGTGCGATAGAGAGGTTGCAAGTATTAATTCATAATCTACGAGGTTACAAGTATTAAATTTCAACAATACCACTACTAAAAGAATCTATATTTCCCACCAGGTGTTTGATATAATTCTACATTGAATCCTCATCTATAGATTTTGTTCGTAACATATTTGTTGTTGAGTGTGTTTAATTTGAATGAACTTTTAACTTTGTTTTTCGTTTTTGTATATTTTCAGTTTCTTTGATTTATACACTGTTCAACTTTAAAAAAAGGTATGTTCATGTTCTTAGCTTTCTAGTTGATATGATAAATCATTTATTATTAATAAGGAGTTAAATTTAAATGTACATACATATATTTTGTATAGAAACCGTACAAAGGATGTGCTAATTATACTTATAGAGCAAACATGAAACATAACTACAGATGGAAAATAGTCAAAGGCAATTAGTTATAATCAAATCTTGTTTTAATAAAAATATATTATATTAATAACAAAATCATTGCCATCTTGATTTGTTGTGATAACACTCCCTCTCAAGATGGAAGGTATAAGTTGGATAAACTCATCTTGTTCTTTAAATGCATGAATTGATCTTTTCTCAATGACTTGGTAAGTAAATCAGCAATTTAATTTTTATAACTGACTTTCATAGTAATAATGAGACCAGGAGAATTTTTTTCACGAACAACATGACAATCGATTTCTATGTGTTTCGTTCGTTCATGATATACCGAATTTGAGGCAATATGAAGAGCATATTGGTTGTCACAAAAAAATAGTATTGATGTAGAAGGAGATAGACCAATATCTTTCAAAAGATGGGAGAGCCAATTAATTTCTCAAGTTGCATAGCCATTGCTCTATATTCAGCTTCAGAAGAGGAACGGGAGGCCATAATTTGTTTCTTTGTCTTCCAAGAGATTATGCTAGAACCCAAAAAATGCAATATCTGGTAGTGGAGCACCAAGTTGTGAGTACAACTTCGTCATTAAATGTTTTGCATGATATCAAAATTGGGAAAAGCTAGCACTTCTATATATTGGACGGTATCCTTATGTCTTATGGCACTCGTCTGCATTAGAGGTCTTAGGAATCATTAAAAAGCATTTTGAAATTGATCCAAGTGATTAAAAATAAGTTTCTGCATAATTTTCTACTACATGTGTCGACACAACCGCTTTTCAAGTCAACACATGTAGCTCATTTTTTAAGCCTATAGCCTCTGTAAGTCTTAGGTCAGCACTTGCATTTCATAGGTCGACACATACTGAAGCATTTTTGAAATTGCAGAAGTTCTTATTTTATGTGTCGACACATTTGTTTTTCAGGTTGACACATTTTCTATCGTTTTAAAGCCTATAGTCTCTGCTTCAGTTTGGTCGACACATACATCATAAAAATTAAGTATGTGTCGACATATACGATATATAGGTCGACACATATTGAATGTTTGGTCAGTTTTTTCAAATCTTTTTAATTTCGAATTTGTCCTTTTTTCCCTAAAAGTTTTAAAACTATAAATATGCATTCATGCATCATTCATAACTTGGTGATACCATAAAATTAGCCTACATTTCTCTTCATCTTCAACCTCTAACATATACATACGCATTAACATTATATTATTATGATGTTTCGTTGGGGCGCCATCTAGACGAGGATTGATATTATCCAATGGAGTATTTGGTTGAGCTTTATAGGGGTCTTTAATCGGGAAAACAACAGGTTTTTCCTCCAAGATCATTGGTTGATTTGGGGGTTTTCGTGCAAGACGTTCAAGAGGTAATTGCGGCCAAGTGAAGTCCTCTGGAGATAAAGAATGCAAGGGATCCTTTGGAGATAAAGAACACAAAGGAAGTAGCGAGAGAACGAAAAATTACAATTGAAGTCTTGTGTTGCAATAGTTTGAAATTGACGGTGCATGAAAGCTTTGGAGATAAAGAACGCAAAGGATTAGCAAGATACAGATAGTCAATTTACATCTATTGTGTCTTGGTCTTTCTTAAGACCAAAAGAGGAGAAGGGGTTGAATCAACAACAAGATTTAGGGTTTGTGAAGTTGATCTTGAACACTTCTATTGTATCAACATTTTGCATAGTAAGAATTATCCTAATTCTATTGGAATTAGGCGCAGACGTACCCACATGCGAGGACGACAATGGGTACCTGTGAAGACAAATTCCTTGTGTCTCTTTTATTTTTGCTTTTACTTTCTTTGATTTTCATTGATCAATTTGTCAAATAGCATTGCGTTATCAATTGAATTGTAAGAAATTTCCTGAACTGTTTTTTATTCTAAATCAAGTGTTGATATAGCTTATAATCACTTTTGATTATAAGTGGTTTTGTGTATCAATACAACTTAAGGAAAAATTCTGAAAATTCACCTGCACACCAAGTGTTTGATAAATTGATTCAATTTGTTCTTTTAATATTGCCATTGGAAATAGCTATACTAGTAACTTGCAATAAACGTTGAATAAGATGTAAAGTTATTCAAGCATATTAATTCAAGTGTTATCCTTATTCCATATTGAATTTGTTTTTATTTTTAAGTTTGCATATCCGAGTTTCCAATAAAGTTTTTAAAGACAGCATTATGGAAAATCTTCTGCGTTTCTCTTTGATAGAACAACTTTCTTAAAACCAGAATTTTTCTGGATAATTTTTTAAAAGGGGTGTCTATTCACCCCCCTCTAGATACGTTGTCATCGTCTAACACGAGTCCTAGGACAACTAGCCAAATATGAATCACAATAACCTTGAAGAGATAAATTTGAATTAGAAGGGAAGAAAAGACCTTGGCCCGAAGTTGACTTGAAATAGCAAATAAGTTGAGTAGCAGCATTCATGTGGGGTTGGCGAAGAGCATTATTAAGTGTCAATTTTAGGTTATTTTCCATATCATATATTGACACTTTTAATCTATTTTCTATGCTTTTGATTATGAAAATGACTTATTTTAAGTGATTCTTGCATCGATGTATATAATCTTGGAAAATTTAATTTGTTTGTCAGTTTTTCAGCATTTTATGTTCATATGTTGCAGCTTAAAGCGGGCTCAGAGAAGAAGAAACAAAGAAAGCTCAGTGTCAGTGTTTGGGAAGCCTCACCCAGCGAAGGGGAGGCGAGAATCAGCAGCTTCGTTTGACGAGAGAGAGCCGAGAGATGTTTCAAAATTCAGTAGCTACTGACTTTGCTTCGCCTGTTGGATCACTCGATGAAGACCAAGTGAGAAGGACTCGCCTAACGACACTATGGGCTCGCCCGACGAGGCGAGATACTTTCAGTTGCCTACATTCACTATTGTTGTCACGTGGGCATGGTTAGTGTGGCTCTCCCGACAAAGCTTGTTTAGCGCCAGGCGAAGCAGAGCGGACATGCCATGCTTATAAGCTACTTTTTATATATTTTTGGACATCTTCTTCCATTTTCTAACATTCTTGTAACCTAAAAACAACTTTGTGTGAGAGAAAAACTCATTTTCTTCATTTCTACTCAAAATCAAAGCTTTCAAGCATCAATCTTTGAGACTTCAAGTTTGATGTTCATAAAGCTTTGTTGTTTACTTGTTGATCAAGCTACCATGAATATGGGTAGCTAAACCACACTTTGTGTCAAGATTAGAGGTAGATAATCTTCACTTTTGTATGTATTTCCCTTGATACTTTGCATGTGAACAAGTTGATGATTAATATATGGTGAAAATCCTTGTTTTATGGTTTATGTTTGATTTGAATCAGTTATGGACTGGCCCGACAACCCGTGTGGGCCCAGTCTAGAGTCCTCCTTCGGTAAGACACACACGACACAACTCAGATCTCCCCCGCCATCTGTTGGGCACCATCGATCATTTGCCCTCTTAGAACGACATTGATCTACGACATCTGACGAGCGTCTCTCAGTCGACCCGACTTCAAGTCAGCCAGGAACCGACCAGACCGCTTCCCACAACCTACTTCCTCCTTGGGACTAATGGATAGTTACGGGCACACCCACTCGGTATGACCAAGTCCTGACAGTTGCCTATTTTCACGGACCCACATATCTAGGCCCAAAAATAGGAACCAATGGCAAAAGCGCCAGGGGCACTATATAAACCCTCACTCATGTGAAGGCCAAGTATCTAATATTCACTATTCACCACTAAAACCCTAATAATTTGCTTGTATCTCTTTGCCCTCACGCTTACTTGATCGTCAGAGTGCCTTACAAGTACAACTCCTTTTTTTCCTCCTCGACATTCCAATCCGACAGAAGATCATCATCCGGCCACCTTGCAGGTTCTGATCAACCGGTAAGATCAGAATCATTATTGAGAAATATGTTCAACTCTTAGCCTATGTTTTCATTTATCAACAAACAATTTCTAGACATAGTTTTGTGAGTTGATATTCACCTATATCAAGCTTTTAAAGTTATCATATTGATAGTTAGGTAGAGAGTTCATCTAAGGATCAATATGATAAAACTCACAATTTGTTTTAGAGATGAAACTTATTGAGAGGATATATGATTATATTGATTGTTAACAACTTCACATGCTTTATTAAGAAAATATATACAAAATAAATTATCGAGCTCTAATCTTGACATGCTTTTAACAATCGTTTAAAACCAAAACTCTCTTTTACGGATACTTGAAAACTTTTTTGAAATCGAAACTTTCCGAAACTAAAAACTTTGATAAACCCATGCTTAAAACAATTTCTACTGTAGAATGGCAGTAATATCACCCAATCCTTATGGATACGATAAGAAAATACTTACCCTGTAAAAGTGATTCAACAAAATTGCGTCGTTGCGGGGGGTATACTCTAAAAATCCTTTAAAATGTCCTCGTTTAATTACTTCCTTGTGTTACATGAAGTGGGTGCTCCAGTCGGATGTGATCAACGAGAGAGTGAGGGGGTTGATTGATTAAAACTATATTGGAAGACATTGTTTGGGCAAGTTGGCATTGAAGAAGAAAAAGGGTGGTCGAGGTGAATTATCAAGTGCTCAAGAAGCAACTGAGTCATATGAGGATCTCAATTATGCTAATTGGGATCCGAGGATGGGAGAGACTTGTAACTTCACATGGGATATGCTCAAGTCTAATCAAAGGTCCAACCAATTTTTCCAAGACTCCATGGCAAAGTTGTACCTCCATCAGTTTGCGCCTCATGAAGTCACTTCTTTTCCCTCTCATGACGAGCATGTTTCATATTGTAATTGACTTGTGTGTAGGCTCCCTTTCTTTTTGGAGGGGGCAACAACTTTTGATGTTTGCGATGGTAATGAATGTGGTCGAGTTGGTGATGATGATGATGGTATGGGAAACTAGTGTGCATAAATGACCAAAAGCATGCATGCTACAAAGTGAATTTTTTTTTTTTGCTTTGGTAATTTATTTTCAGTTTTATCTTGTTATTTATTGCTTTTTAATTTAGTTTTTTGTTGGAACAATTTTTTTAGGATGTTGTATTAAGTTGTATTTTGGATCTTGAACCTTTTGTTGGTGTTTTACACCAAAGACCTCTATGTTTGGTTGTTGTTGTACCCCAAAATTTGCCCTCTCTTTTCTCAAGGCATTTCTCACAAGGATTCTAAAAAATTCAATCTTACACAAGTACAATTGGATTTTTCAGCATCAAGTTAAAGAGGAAACTGATAAAAAGGGCAAAGCAGATAAAAATAATCTTTTTGACAAAATTGAAGAAAAAAAAGTTTTCTTCAATTCACATCCTTCGATTGGACTTTTGGCCTTTTTTGATGCAAGCTTGGCTTGCATCCTTCGATTTGAGCGTTGGCCTCTGACACGTTGACTTTGATTCACAAAGCAGGAGCTTCCTGCATGCAACCTTTGATTGCACCATTGGCCTCACATGGTTCACAATGCAACGGTTGCCTGCATTCCTGCTTAGTTTGAACATTTTATGCCTACATCCTATTTTGATTAGACAAATAATTCCCTCCATGCTTGCTTTAATGGCTAGTTATATACATCCTTCGATTGGACAATAGTTTCCTTCTTACATGCTTCAAATCAAGAGGCTCCCACCAAGCCAGCAGGCACAAGGCAAAGAAGCCTCATGTAGCCTCCTTCGACTCAAGGCAAAAAAGCTTCCTGTTGATGTCCTTCGATTCAGAGGACAAATTCTTTCTTTACGATTGCTCCCAATTCACAAAGCAAGGACCTTCTTCAAGCCAGCAGGCACAAGGAAATGGCCTCTTGCAACTGCCTTTCGATTCAGAAGCCATTTTCCCCTTTACATGCTTCATTCTTTTCATAAAAGTCAGAATTCCCTTTAGGCCAGTATGCACCAGGCAAGAGCTTCCCCATGGCTAGCATTCACAAGGCAATGGCACCCATAAAGCATTGGCCATTTTTCACGCTATCTTTGAATGGGTAATATTTCCTTTGGAAACAGTCTGTTTCGATCACACATAATTCCTACATTATGGCATACAATGGGTGTCCCATTCAAAAGGCATGTCTTGGTGGCCCATTCGAAGAGTTGCAAATGGTGCACATAAATGATGCATATGGTCCAATCGAAGGACACATATTTGGCCCTTTCAAAGATACACATATGACCCATTCGAAACACACTTGTTGGATGAAAATCAAATAATATTGTTTGAAGAAAGATCTGGTCGAAGGTGGTCAAAACGAAAGGTGGAGATATCAAAAGATTCTTACTGCTAAGTTCAGGCCTAATACACTGGCCATAACACTTCAAAATTGCTGCACAGCAGTCCTGAAACACTGCCCCTATTCTTGCTCCAATTTGGCATACGAACACTGCCTCTCGAAAACTACAAAAACAGTTTACCCATTTTATTCAAATTGTTTTGTTTTCCCTCCTAAACCACAACCAACTTCGCCGATAAATAAGAGGCTCCATAACATATCTAAGGGGCTGGACAACACATCCAGAGGCTTTTGATAGGTGGGGAAAAACTTTGATTTTGTGAAAATTATTAAACACTTGACACATTATCATACCTAGATTCGAAAGACCACACCTTTTTTGTTGACCCTTTTGAATCCAACACTAGAAACACAACACCTGTTTCTTCTCCCTTCGAATTCAGGCACAATCCCACACTTTGCTTTTCTTTCGAATCCAGCAGAAAGAACACTACACCTGTTCTTCTTCTTCGAATCCAGCAATAACAAACACCACCCCTACTCTTCTGGACCTTAGAATCCAGCACTAGAGACATCACCTTCGTTTCTTCCTTCAAATCAATGAGCACCCAGGACAGCAGCTCAAGGTCCAACACTTACATTACAACGTCAAGCAAGGTAAGTCCCCTTAACCTTAAGCTTTTTGTTTCAAACATAACATGTAAATACCATTTGTTCACTTTTTATTTCTATACTTTCGATTGCATTCTTTTTTCTTGTCCAAGTATACGTTAGAGCTAACCTGTATAGACCCTAAACGAAAGAAAAGTCTTGTGTGAAATGAGCTTTAGGCTTCACCCCTGGTTGCTTCGCAGTTGCAAGCAAAATAAAGAGTGTGGCCTTAGGCTTACCACACCCTGACTTCCAGCCCATTCGAAGGAGCAAGAAGGGAGAAACGAAAGATGTCCACATTAACTCCCAGGCCCAATGGAAGAAGGCAGCAAGGAGCTTGAGGTGAAGAGCGCACCTCACGCTGATTCCGGGCCCCATTTGAAGGAAGCAAAAGGACAAAATTGAAAGTTTCCTGCACATGCAGACTTCCAGGCCAAGTCGAAAAGAGCTAGAAGAGAAGAATCAAAGGATCATCCTGCCTAGATCGAAAAGCTCATTTTTCCTCCTTTTTATTTTGTTTTTGTATTTACATTTTCTTGCTATTCAATATGGTTGTAATAATGTAGGATTTATTTTCTGCATTTTTATTGCTTTTGTACAAATGTTAGTAATTAGGATGTATGGCAAGATAAAACCAACAAGTAGACCATCCTAATCAAAGACTAAATGCATGCAATTAAACACACTATTCACACATGCACCTCTAGGGTAATCCCACTTGTTGCCTCGGAAAATAGTCATGTCCCTCGAATATGGGCGTTTTAGCAAAGACCCTCGATAAAAGATCATAGTCCCTCGATGACCCTCGATGTTGCCTTCGGTAAACGATCTAGTCCCTATACAAAAATTGCTAAAACGTCTCATAGGTTGCCTTCTATGACTATACAAATGACCCACGCCTGTCCC